AGACTACTTTATTGTATTCCTTTGATTGTACATGTTAAATAAAAGCTTGTTTTTAAAAAATATTTTTTTTACATTATTTTATTATAAGCTATATTTCTACAGATATAAAATTTTCAAAAATTTTAATGTACGCAGATGATGTGAAACTTTATAAATCATACGTATCAATCAAAGAAAAGCATTTGCTACAAGCAGACTTAAACAGCATGGCTAACTGGTGCTATGTAAATCGTATGCCTCTAAATCTGGAAAAATGTAAAATAATGTGCTTTTCGCGAAGCGCTGTTCAGCCACTTATACAATAGATAACCATAATTTGGAACAGGTATACAATTTTGTGGACCTAGGTATCACAATGAATCCGAAACTTAATTTTAATCTTCACATTAATGTGACGGTCAACAAAGCTAAAGGTGTACTTGCATTTGTGAAACGATGGTCAAACGAATTTAGTGACCCTTATATGACTAAAACCCTATTTACAACATTAGTTAGACCGATTCTGGACTATGATTCGGTTGTTTGGAATCCAAGGTATCAAATTTACTCAGACAAGATAGAATCAATTCAAAAACAATTCCTACTTTTTGCTTTAAGAAATTTCCGTTGGCATTCTCAGTATAACCTTCCGCCTTATACGAGCCGATTAAAACTTTTTAATCTTCCTACACTTGTCAGTCGCAGGGAAATGCTTGGTACAATTTTTATGGTTAAATTACTGACAGGCTCAGTTTCAAGTCCGCTTCTTCTGGGTGAAGTTAGCCTTAATGTTCCCTCCCGCGTATCAAGACACTTTCATCCCCTATTTTTGAAAACTTGTAAAACTAATTTGGAATTACCGAGCCACTCCGTTGCTTATGCCAGGATTTTAACTCTCATTACAGCATTTTTCAGCATTAAGAAAGCGATACTATCCTCTCTCAATAAATGAATCATTAACATAAAGACATAAAATCAGCTGATAAATTTAATTCTGCAGCTGAACAGTTTTAGATCTCAACACTTAACAAACTCCTGCCTATCGTGCCTCGGTGCAAAATATTGAAAACATTGGTTCCGTACGTCATGCGCACTGAGCCCCTCGTGCGGATGGACGGGAATAGAGGGTAAAAACCGTTTGGATTATTATTATTAAGGGCTATGAGTCTCAGACAATAAAAGGCATAAAATTTCCAGGCTGGCTGGCAACAGCAATTCAAGAAATTACGCGATGTAGTAGCTAATATGGCTCAGACGATAAGTCAGTTAGCAGCTGTGCAAGTAGTACAAGCGCAGCAAGCATCATAATATAGTGCCAGCGAACTCCGACGCAACATTTAGCGGAGCGCCAGCAAACTCCGGCGCAACATGTAGCGGAGCACCAGCAAACTCCGGTGCAACATGTAGCGTAGTACCAGTAATCTTCNAAGCTACCAACGCAGAATGAAGCTACCAATTTTGGTCCAATTGGACCAAAACGGCAACGCTGGTGAGGACGGGTTTTTAATTTTACTCCGTACAATTTAACGCAAGGAGCTGCAATGGAGCAAGATTAACACGCAGTAATTTCAAGTAAAATTAAATTTTCGACACTCAAGGTGGAGCAGCTCAACCGGCTGTTACAGCAATTAGCAAACGTCAAGCTGTAAGGTTCAACTTATATTGTTCTCTGATTTGTCTTTCTATTTGCAAAGTTTATTGTGCGAATTCTGAGTTAAAGCTGTTACAAAAAGTCCCTACAAGCATCTTAGTGCGAAAATAATCGAATCTAAGTGAAAGTTTGTGTTTTCTATTAAATTTAATTAAATTTCACTAGCATACATCTATTCTTGCCGAGTCATTTGTTGTTATCATTGTTGTTGTAATTCCTTTGTAGTTAACTGAAATCGTTTTTATTTTTGCACATTTCTTTTGCTCTTTTTGTTTACTTCTTTTAGTAATTCTTGTCGCAGCTGTTTGCTTTGCGTTTATTAATTACAGTGATACTCAAACTGTTCGCTACATTTATTTAAAGCTATTTATATCAGCTCCTAAATTCTTATAATTTCTTTTGTTTGTCTTTTTATTAACAAGTGTTATTAAATCTTTTAATATGAAGTGTGATCTTGATACTTGCCAAATTAAAAGCGATTCTGAACGCTACTTATCGTGCTGGCTCTGTGATGGTATTTGNCTTGATACTTGCCAAATTAAAAGCGATTCTGAACGCTACTTATCGTGCTGGCTCTGTGATGGTATTTGCCATCTAAAATGTGCTGGTTTGACAGGTAAATTGTGTACGCTATTAATGATGGCAAAGGTCTTCGCTGGTCTTGCTTAAAGTGCAGGGCAACCGAAGTTGATCTCTTTAAGTTGTTTAGGCAAACCACAAATGGTGTTTCTGAGGTGGGGAGAGAGTTGTCGGTACTGACCGAAAAATTTAAGCATTATGAAAATGTGTTTAAATATTTTAAATTAGATACCGTACAATCTATAAAGGATATTCGTGGGTCAAAACGCAAACGTCTTCATAGTCCGCCTAATGAAATGATAATCGCTCCACGTCAGAACCACAGTATACCAGTAGAAAAGGTGTTTGTTGTTGTAACTTGTTTCGTGGTGAAGTCCTTTATGGGGATAAACTTTCGACGCAAAAAATTGAGCACATGGTTGCATCTGCCGCTAAAAGAACGAATATTGGAAAACATTGAAAAAAAGTCTGAGATAATGCATTCATATTAGACTAAAAATAACCACAATAATTTACACTAATTAAATAATATGATAATCATGTGTAAAAACTCTTTTCAAGTCTTATTTTTCACAAAATAATATTGTGGATCGGAATGCTCTGAGAGCTTGTGGTGAAATGTACTTTACCAAAAAAATGCAGCCCTGTTCGTTTTTATTTCTGTATCGCATCGCGGTGAGTTTCTATTTCTTGGTAATTCGGTTTGTGAAAAGGTAAACAAATGATTGAAATTTATTAATTTCGTGTATTTACAATGAATTAATGCAAATTTCTTTCTTTTCAGACCATAAATTCACAGCTGAAGAGCTAATTAAATTTGTGCCTGGTGATGATGAAGAAACGCATCGGCGCCTGTAGAAAGTACGGAGCAAAGGAGTCGTGAAAATAGAAAGCAATTGAACGAAAAAGATAAGACCAATGACGACGATTCAGAGGATGAATTCGTCGCTGGGCTGGAAAAGAAGAGCATAACGTAAGTTAAAAGTTCCCTTTAAAAGAACCTATTTATTTTTAATGCATGCTTGCAGAATTGATGACATATTGGCAGATTTCGGTTCTGATTTGCCAAAAGATATGGATGCGGATAATCGCGAGCCTAATAAAGCTGAGAAAAGGAAGCCAAAACGCAACAGCACTTTTAACTAAACGTGAAGACCCAGAGGATATTGTCGATTTGGCTGACATTAAGTCCATAGGAAATGTGCTAAGTTCGTATCCCAGGTGAAGCCGCAAGTGCTGCTGGAAGCACCAAATCCAAAAATAAGGATCCGAATCGTTGTTTTAAAACCGCCGAGGATGGAAGACTGATTATAAGTGATAAAGCATTGCGAAGTGCTGGGGGTGATGACAACAGCAGCAGCAGCGAAAGTGGCTATGATGATGACGAGGCGATTGAAGCAAAACGAGCGCCTAAACGCGGCATGGAAGTTGACCATAGTGATGGTATGTCTACCGTGATTATATTAAGGAGTCATAAAAGTGATTTACTCTTATTATCGCACTCTTTAATACAGAAACAAAAGAGGAGGAACTTCCAGCTACAAGCCGCAAACGTAAAGCTACCGATGCGATTAGTATGCGTTCGGGTAAGACTTCAGCTTCAAAACATGTAGCCGGTGGCAAAGGTATTCATCGGCCCTTAGGCGCCTCCGGTAGTGACGCAATATAAATAAAATCCGGCTACTCTGCGAAGTCGGCCAAATCTGGCAAATCTACAGCGGCTTCAGCATACGCCGGCAGCGAGTATACAACTAAGAAACATAAAGGCGATATGAAGAAGAAGGGCAAGCTCGATCCCTTCGCGTACATACCACTAAGTCGAAATACGACAGTCGGGTCTACGTAACCGGAACGACCCAGATTTATATCTGGCCAAGGACTGTCACTCCAGCAACACTCCCCAAAAAGTCTTTGGGGAATTTGTATGCTGCTACAACAACAACAACAACAAAAGGTAAGTTATTCGATGGTAATTATACTAAACGTTACTTATTTACAAAAATATAAAATTTTTGACAGAAAACGAGCAAAACATGCAGACGCATTTAAGAATATCGTAAATGGAGCACGGAAAGGTGCGCTGAGAGGCGTTAAACAAAGAGTCGCTAAGCCTAACAAACAATAAGCTAATAAAACTAATGCAACAAACTCAAACTATGTATGTATGTGTACATAAAAGATCCCAACAAGCAAAATAAGCTTAAAGAAAGTTTTTTTTAAGTTTTCAATTATAAACATTAAGCTTACAAAACGTGATTTTTTGTTTTATAAAACGCTTGAAAGTAAGCGTAAAATAATCGAAAAGAAACATTTGTTTAAGCGTAGAAATATAAACTTGTATAAATGTTCAAAAGAAAGCTTTTTATAAGCGTAAAAGTGTAAACTTATAATAAAGGTTCAAAAAAAGTTTTATAAGCGTATGAATATAAACTTACTAAAAATTTTCAAAAGAAAGCTTTTTATAAACATTTTTATTAACCCTTTATTTAAAGATATTTCATTAAAAACTAATACATAGATTGCTTAACAACTAGAAACTAAAAGAAATGCGAATTTTCGGCGGACTCATCTACAGTCGCGAAAATATAAATAGGGAATAGACATTTTTGTATACAAATTCACGATAACACACACAAATTAAGCATAAAAAAGTTAATTATTACATCTTGTTGCGTGCTTTCAATTACATGCGGTTATTGGCAAATTGGAAAAACGATATCGATGCAGCTATATATTCCGTTCATCCGCCATCAGATGAACTTTTCTGAAAAAAAATTTAATACATTTTTAATTGAATGTTAAACTAAGAAAGGATAAGGAGAACTCATCATTTGAAGACTCGAATGCTCGACCGATTAGCGCATCGGGTCCTGGATTGGATTTTTGTTACCGCATTGGTTTTATTTAATTTTTTCTTTTAATAATATATTTTAAAAAACGTAAACACGTCACTTAGGATTGAAAAAATGTTATATTTACCACTTCATGTCGTTGGCATTTGCATTTCATTTATAAGTTTAAGTTATTTATAAATATTCGCTCTCAAAACTTATTAAAGGTTTATTTGAAAAAACTTTTAATAAGCTTAATATTAAAAATGCTTATTTAACGCTTATTATAGCAAACTTACTTTAATTTATTTTTAAAAACATTTACTGGAATGCTTGTTGGGATTATATATGAAGTAAGCTATAGTTACGACTGAGAGTTATAAATCAAAATATTGCATAAAATAAAGCTAAAAATCACTATTTAAACAATTTAAACTTTAAAAGCAGGTAAATATGTTCTTCCATCTACGCTAAATGATTTTATTTTTTAGTTAGCTCATATAATTTATGTAAGTTAAAAATACTTTAGTCAGTTCACCTGAGTTTAAAAGCTTACATTCTGAGGCTTTGGGTTTTAGCACCCAATCAACAAAATTTTTCATACGTTTTGGGTACATAGGCATGCAATAAAAGAATACGTTTAAAATTATAATACAAATTCTTATTGTATACATCGTAGAGTGAATGCTTTCGCACTACATATTAAGAATATAAGAAATTAAATATTAAATTTTATAATTTATTATAAATTTAATTCAACAAATAAATAAATAAATACACAATTGTAATAATTTTTGAACGCACTTTCCACACCACCTTCGAGGTATGCATATAGGCGCGTTACCGATTTTTTAAAGGTGTTCGGTTCCCCAGGAGGCCTATCTTCACCATTATAACTTTAATTAAAAATGTTTTAAAGCATGCAATAAAAGAATGCAACAACAAAAAAACAAATTTTCTTAAAACTAGTAAACATAAAAAAATTTTGCGAATAAAATTCATAATTCAAAATAAAATATCACAATCGTTTTTATATATACATATTTACAAAATGAATTTTAAAGCACCCACAGTAAGTCCTAAACCTATAAATGACTAATAATAAAAATAATGAAGAATAACAAAAATCCCGAGAAATGTGAACAAGTATGTCGAGAAGTCTGTTAAGAGTAGCGAAACTGTATCTCAATAATAAGTACTTTTAAGCAAAAAATACCGACTTCAATGCTCATATGCATAAAATTTAGGAGTACTGTTCATTTGTTCATGACAATGATCGGCAGAAAACCAAATTAGCATGAGACTACCCGTGAGGTACCAAATTATCTGGTAAAATACAAAACAAAAAACGAAATAAAACAAAAAATAAAAAAAAAATTATAAATTGATAACCGTCCTTCTTAAAAAAATGAGTGCGTATTCTACTAAAAAAAATATAAACTACCTGTGAGAAATACACAAAAATTTTGTATGTTTAAATTCAGGTGTACATGCCTCTTTATTAAAAATTTTTAAAGAAAAATATGTCCTGATTCTAATAAAAAGGTGTTTTAAAATATCGGGATTTGAATTACTGCAGCAATAATATGGTTCTATGCCACTCATTTTTTCAAATAATGCTTTTGAAAATCCAATTAAATGGCAACAAGAATCGAAGTTTTCGTTTAACACTTCATCGAGTTTCTTACAAANTAACACTTCATCGAGTTTTGTAAGAAACTCGATGAATCCAGAAGGAGCTTTCACGCGATTTAAATTGTCATACTCCTTTTCTTTAGTGAAAGTAAATGCTTCTTCCGGAATTTCACCTTCATCAAATCGGGGTAATGGCTCCAAGCAAGTATGTAATTTATTATATTCAAAATACATATATCCGCAGAAATACGCAAAAGAGTTCCTTTGCAGGAAGTCGCTTTCAACGACATCGACATCTATACCGTTTCTTATACCGTCATGTATGTTAGGTCTGGGCAAACTTTGAAAGATTTGCCAGGAAGTGTCTTGAATCNCACCCTTTCAAGGGTGCGAAACGAAAAAAATTCCCACTCGGCGCTATGCAAAGGTTCGCAATTACCGCTTGTAACAAAATTTACATGTCTTAGGCCCCAGGATTGCCTGAAAAGATCTGAAAACATGCACGGAGTTGTTCTTGGATTTAATCCACCGCCCCTTCTAATCTGACCAAAATAATGTTCTATTTCGTCCTGGCAGAGTCTTCTGGTTCTTATATACTCGAATTCATGGTGTGACAATATAAGCCACAAGCGTCGCAAACTTTGGATGTTCAGAAGCCAGCCTTTAATAAAGGAAAAATTGTTCGTGATATCTCGACCAAATAGTATATCATGAACAGTTATTGAACGAAGGGTTCGTTCGGCTTCTTTCAAAAAATCTAATTGTTCCGTGCTACCTGAAAAGGGTTG